CGAATTTGAACTACGTTATTATTAGCACATTGTGAGGCTAAGCCCACCCCTCTCCCTTAATGTAGATAATATTATTTGTTAAAAAAATAGCATTATGTGAAACAACGTTAACTATAAATCACTTACAATGTTCCTCATTTTTCTGATGTTTGTCCCTCAATAGGCATGAATGGTAGTCAAGAGTGGTTAGTTAGTCCCTCAACCTCAAGTACTATTAGCATGATCAAAACTAAACTAATGCATTTAAGTATCCAGTTTTGTTTTATTTAATTTTGTCATTCCCCCTCATAAGCAACTATTGAGCATTTAATCAAATATTTTAGGCCCCCGTTGGATCTTGAGTGATTAACTGGATTTGTTTTAGTTAGTGGGTACATGCATGCATGGTCCACGGGTGTTAAAACTGGGTATCGATTTTTTTCTTCTTAAAAAGCTCAATATATATCAAACTTAAAAATTCATTAAAATTACAAATACATACCAGGTCCGCTAGGGACAGATATAACAAAGCTCTGGAAGTACATTTGTAGAGCAAAAATTTAGTACTTCCCTTGTATACAACTTTATTGGAAGAGCTTGATTATTATACATACTACTACTAACTAATTTTATATATCCTCTCCCTTTTTTTCCTTTTTTTCTCTATTACTATTTATTTATACAAACGATACTGCAAAAGTAAATATCAACCACAGGGGCTTGATAAGTCTTATATATGAACCACTTACAAATATTAATGGTATTAGTTGACCACAGGACTTCAATATATAATTCCTATGAACCACTTTACCATTCGCCTTTGGGCGGCCTGGGACTACAATAAAAATATCGGGGAGGTCCACTAGCAACTGGTGGCTGGCATGCAGGAGGAGGAGGAGGAGGAGAATGCATGTTTATGAGAGAACTTAAAAATTAAAGACAAACAAATACAAATATTAATGTTACTAGTCTATAGTTTTATTTTTCTTCTTGGAGAAGATGGTTGCGGACTAAGCAGTAGGCTCCCATTTTACAGCAGCAAGTAGCATAAGCTTCCGTCCTTTACGGGTCCACAAAAGGAGGAGGACTTGCATATATGCTCATTCTCTTCCCACCATATAGGACCACATATAAGCAGATGTGAAAATTCGACTTAAAATCTCGTTCAGCATCAAGAATAGAAATACTATTAAACTAAAGTTAGTTATTCAGTGTAATCTAAACATAAAAAAAATATATAAATAAAGAATAACCACAACAAGTGGCTTAGTGGTAAGGGCGTGGACAACGGCTCTCCAATAAACAAAAAAAAATGTGGGAGGTCCCGGGCTTTATGCTCCGAGTTGGTGAGTCTGCTTGATTGTGGTCACGAGTAGAGTAAAATTCCCCATAGCCTTTCTAAGCCCGGAATGTGTGGATAACCGTGGCTTGCCATCAGTTGTCCCCCTTTTTTAACCAAAAAAAAAAACATTAAAAAAAGAATAATTAGACAATCTTAAACATTATGTAATATGAGAGAAATTATGTAAAGTAAAAGCTCCATTATGTAATAGGATAGAAATTATGTAAAGTAAAAGCTCCAGTAACTTCTTTACTTTTCTTTCCTTATCAACGTTGAATGTATTCTTATCCTTGACAAACAATATAAAGAGAATTGAATATTTAACTTTGAACAAAACAATATCAAAACAAAACAATAACAAACAAAAACAAAAAAAACAAAAACAAAATATTTTGACATATAATGCGTGGCAAGTAGGCCAATGTTAGCACAGTTCAGTCAATCTTTGTTCAACCGAATGATAGGCACAAGTTTAAGTTCTTCTCAAAACACCAATCAACAATCATCTTTAACCTTTTTTTTTTAGCAGCTCAGTATCCCTTCAACATGAACTAAATCAAATAAAGCATGAATTTCATTAAACTTATGAGTATTCCCAATGCCCAAACTCCAACTAGTTAAGCTTCAGAATAGTAACATAAATGGAGACATTTTGACAAGGAGTTAGAGATATTAAGACCTAGAGTTGAGAGCAAAGGGGGATTTCTTGTAAACCAATAGGGTTTATGTGGTAGCAAAAATCTTTCGTCTTCAGTCTTAACGAATGACTTTTCTCCTTGCGATGGGCAAGAGAACTTGATGAGGTTGTGTTGTGAAATCAACATGTTTGCAGTGACATATAAAGTAAACAAGACACTTTGCTAGTGTTTACACCATCCATCCTTTGGTGTTTTACCACTCATCCATGGATGAATCCCATCCATATCATCCCACCCAGACTAAGATGAGGACCTTGACTGAGATAAGGACCCGGACAAACATATGAATCGCTGTTCTGGAGAGGTGTTAAATATGGTCCCACATGCATTATTGTCAATCTTAGGTAAAATTTCATGTATTAGCTTCATAATTTTTCGGATTATTTTTTGCTCCACAATTGCATCCACACTTGTTGTGCTGCATATAAGAAAGGGCAACAGGGTGTAAAAATCCCATATTGAGTAGGCTAGCCAAAACGTTGTTTAACTTGTGTCAGATTTTGGTGGCCTTCGTGCCAATTTATCAATTACCATAAATTTAGTGAGCTGCTTTCTTCGCTTCAACTCCATCTTCATTATTCAATTGCCTTGAATGTTCTTGAAACTTTGTTTGCTTGAAGCGCCTTGCAAAGCTTTTAGCCATAGAGTTGCAAACTATTCATGTGTTTTTTATAAAAGCAAGCGATCCTAGTAGGCTTGTCTAGGCCGTGAGTTTTGGCTTGATGGGGCGTTGAGCTGTCCATGACAATGTGTTGCTGCTTGGCTGGTCCACGGTCACTGATCCTTTGAGTTGTGTGGCATGCATCACAACATAATGAAGATTTGTTAAACACGAAAATTGCTAATTGGTCATAGCAAAAGTGTGCAGATGTTTGGAAATTCATGGGCAGGGACCCAGGAGATGTTATGCGGTTATGAGTTTATGGAATTCATAGACTGCTTAGCTTGTCGGCAGCTGATAGAGTTATATATGAACACAAAAGATCGCTAACTAGTCAGAGCAAAAGTGTGCAGTTGTAAGGATCTTCGTGGGCAGCAATTTACGCTCTCCCAGAGGAGAGCGGGCAATTTACCTTTCTTTTCAATTGGGTTGTAGTCTTGTAGATGCAAAGTAGCTCATTTTTCTTAATAATTTCCTTGTTTCAATGTTTTTGGATGTATTCTGCCTTGTGATCGTTTGAACTGGTGAATCATGGAACAAATCTGTAATCTATTGTGGCTAATCTGTAATCTATCTTGGTGAGAGACTGAGACCTTGAACCGTACCAAAATTCCAAAAAAAATTCGAGAGTCCCAAAATTTCAGTTCGGTTTTGAGTTTTGAAATTCTATCTTGAAATTTATTGGTTTGGGATTCGGTTTAGGATCCCAACCCGAACTAGCTCTAAGCACAAGCATACATTTTTTTACTGAACATAACCATACATTTAAAATAACTACTTCCATTGTATACAACTTTATTGGAAGTGCTCTAAATCGCACATAGAACCTCTGAAATGCTCGACTATGAAAAGGTTCGTAATTAAAACGCCCATATTTGAATCTTTTGTTCTGTCTTTTATTTTATCAGTCTTTTATTTTATCAGATTTGTTATCTCATGCATTGTAGTTAAATTTTGATTATTTTGTCACGTATTTTCGATATATGCAATCTACTTTTTGTCACACCGGATTAAGAGAGAAAGTCTAATCATACTAATGAAAGTCATGAATTTAAATAGTACATCATTTCTTCTTTAAATAATTATCACGTGGTGTTACTAGGGGACTTGGATTGTCTGCCCTCCCATTTCGGTGCCCTCCTCATGCTCTCTAGTTTGTGTGGTTACGGTTAAGCCACATCAACATTTTATATTACTATTTCTTTTTGTTTTATTATTTTTATAAAAAAACAATATAAAATGTTGACGTGGCTTAACCGTGACCACACAAAACAGAAGGACACGGGAAGGGCACCGAAATGGGAGGGTAGACAATCCAAGTCCGTTACTAGGTGCAATAAAGAATCTCTCCAATAATAAGGATCACCTCAAAAAATTAATGCGTGTAAATAATCAGCCAAATGTTAGCAATTCGTGTCCAAATTCTTATTCTCAATAAAAAGTATCAAGCTAATTGTAATTCAATTCGGTCTTCACTTTTTAGTGTGAACAACTAACAAAACTACTCAGATTAGTTTAGTTTGAATAAATTAATTGACTCAAATTGGTTTAAGTTCTCACTCATTTTCTTAGGGGGTGTATTCAATTGGGATTTTGAGGGATTTTAATTCTTTTAATGAATCTAAGGGTATTCAATCAGGATTTTAAGTGATTCTCTGAAATTCAAGGTGTATTCAATTATAATTTTAAGATAATTTATTAAAATCCTTAGAAATGCGAGTGTATTCAATTAGAATTTTAAAGAAGTTTATAACATTCCAGGTGTATTCAATTAGAAATTGATTTTAAAGAATTTGAAAAAGTTGAGGAATTGGAGAGATTTTGTAGTGTATTTTAAGCATCCACAAATCTCACCTCTTCTTATGAGATTTCGAGGGAATTGAATCAAAATTTTATATGAAATCTCTACCAAGCAATTAAACTCCATAAAAATTCATGGATTTATAAATCCATTAAAGTCTCTTAAATTCTCAATTGAATACACTCAGCTTAGAATAGTAATATCACTTGTTTTAGGTGGTTTTACCCATCCTTAAACTCAAAAACCTCACTCTTTTTTTTTTTTGGGTCAAATGATAGATTTGTTAGATTAAATATGGAGTTCGAACTTATGTCGTGGTGCAACGGCAACAACATCTCTACTACTATGATAGAGGGTCATTTGCAATAAATAAATAAATAAAACTTCACTAAATTGGGCCTACATGCAAATTAAATGTTTTTGGTGGTTTGTACCCACCCTTAAACCCAAAAACTTGCTTAGGCCCAATGCAGCCCAGTTCACGTCCATGTAGATCTCCGCCTGGGTGCCATAAACTTCCGTTCTGATTTCAAATCGCGAGGGAAGAAGCGACAGGACTCCTCAGCGGAACCTGCCCTTTTTCCAGAGGCATGCAGCCGCTGAAACACCGCCAGGTGCCGCTTCACATTTATCACCCTCTCAGTCCCTCAGTCTCTCTCTCTCTCTCTCTCTCTCTCTCTCTCTCTCTCTGATCACAGCAAAACAATGGCCCTTTTTGTCTTCTTCCTCCCCTCTCGTTTTCCCCTTTGGCTTTATATTTTTGCTCTGCGCCCCTCCTCTCCTCCCCACCTTAGACTTCCGCTCTCGCCCTTTCCTGATTTGCTCCACCGTCCCCTTCTTTCTTCTCGCCGGAGCCTCCATTGTCAGTCATGCGGAATACCATTCAGGACACCCTCGCTGCACACAGGAATGAGCTTGTTTCTCTTTTCTCCAGGTGCATCTCTCTCACATTGCATTTCAAATGGAGGGTTCTTTCTAAAAATTAAAAATTTGTTGTGGGCTTTGTTTTTGAGGTTGGAATTGATGTGGGTTTCTGAGAAAGTTGAGATTTTTGTTATGTTTGGAAGGTATGTTGCTCGAGGAAATGGGATTCTACAACCCCATCAAATGATAAGCGAGCTCGAAAACGTGATCATGGACGATGAAGGCATGCAGAAGCTCAAAGATAGCTCCTTCAGCAAGGTCTTACAGTCTGCCCAGGTCAGGTTCTCACAACTAATGTACAATGTGCTCTCTTTTTTTTTTCTTTTTTTTTTAGATTTTTGTAGGTCCCTCTTTATGTTTCACATGGTGTTTGAATGAGGATTTTAGGCTATTTCGGAGAGTTTTACTCTTTATGATTTCTTTATTCAGCTTAGTTTTGGAGATTTTTGGATGTTGCTCAAGTATCTCTATGTTTGCTGAGAAAATGACAAGTAAAATTTGAAAATCTGAAGTTGCAATTTTGCAATATTTGTGATCCAAGAAAGCAGAAATCTTTGTTCTGCATGGCTTGTGAAAGTTGTATTTGTTTTGGTTTTCTGATTTTGGTATTTGCTTGTTATTTAGGAAGCAATTGTTCTTGCTCCTTTCGTGGCTCTTGCACTTCGTCCAAGACCTGGTGTTTGGGAGTATGTTCGAGTTAATGTGTATGAACTCAGTGTGGATCATTTGAGTGTTGCAGAATATCTTCGGTTCAAGGAAGAGCTTATTGACGGAGAGTAAGGGATCTCCTGTGTTAATCTTTGTTACTGAATTTGTAATTTGTGCCGAGTCTTTCTACTTTCTTATCTGGATTCTGGAGTAGCATTACATAGAGCGGCCTAGACAGTTTTTATTGTTCTTTCAATTCCATTATACATGAATGCATTCTCAATCTGAAATCATTGTCCTAGGTGCAACGACAAGTATGTGCTTGAACTTGATCTGGAGCCATTTAATGCATCATTCCCTCGACCAACCCGTTCGTCATCAATTGGAAATGGGGTTCAATTCCTTAACCGTCATTTATCTTCAAATATGTTCCGTAACAAAGAAAGTTTGGAGCCTCTTCTCGACTTTCTTCGTACGCACAAACATGATGGTCATGTAAGTTTGAGTAAGCTGTGGGCTTTGCATGAATGAGCATTCCACTTTTTCAGTTATCATGCATTTCCCTTTAGTTTAATTTACCGGTTGTCTTTTCTCTTGCATTCAGGTTTAGTGTAAGTTTTTGGTTTTTATATTTTCCTTAACCTAAAGCCACATAAAGCCATATTTGAAGTAATATGACAATGAGGTCGTGAAGCACTCGTACCCTTGGACTGAATGATATTAGTTCTAAAATTTTGTAGGCAATGATGCTAAATGATCGGATTCAGAGCATACCCAGACTTCAGTCTGCTTTAGCAAAGGCAGAGGAATATCTTTCTAAGTTCCCATCAACTACACCATATTCTGAGTTTGAATTTGAGTAAGCGAATCATCTAATTTCAACACTTTGATCTCCACTCCTATAAAGGGATAATTTGATTGCTTTAGATGGCACATTTAATCATCTTTACACAATGTGCAGCTTACAAGGAATGGGATTTGAGAGAGGGTGGGGTGACACAGCACAACGGGTGTCAGAGATGGTGCATCTTCTCCTGGAAATTCTTCAGGCTCCTGATCCCTCTACCCTGGAAAACTTTCTTGGGAGGATCCCTATGGTGTTCAATGTTGTCATAGTGTCTCCACACGGCTACTTTGGCCAAGCTAACGTCTTGGGTTTGCCTGACACTGGAGGGCAGGTATTGCTTATGTACTTTTGACTATTTCATATCCATTTGTTTGTTGTGGGTCTTTCCTTTCCTATATTTTTATATATACCAAACTATTAACAGATCCAGTAGTTTTACGAATATTTTTGTCATAAAACCATGAAAAGGTTATATCTTTTCTTACTGATGGCAGGTTGTTTATATACTGGACCAAGTGCGTGCCTTGGAGAGTGAGATGCTTCTTAGAATACAAAACCAAGGATTGGATGTTATTCCAAAAATTCTGATTGTAAGTTCTTGAATGGAAGTTCATGCGACGTTAGTCGACATTAGGTGTTGTGTACCATTTTATACTACGTCATGTCCTTTTACTTCTTGATGGCAGGTTACCCGACTGATACCTGATGCAAAAAGGACAACATGCAACCAAAGATTGGAAAGAGTCAGTGGTACAGAACACACACATATCTTGCGGGTACCTTTCAGGACTGAGAATGGAATTCTGCGGAAATGGATTTCAAGATTTGATGTGTGGCCTTACTTGGAGAACTTTGCAGAAAGTCAAAAGGATAGGACTTTTCATTTTCATTTTTGGTGTGGATCTCCCTTATTCATTTTCCGTACCCTTTTTCACTGTTTGAATACTGAATAGCCATAACTTTATGATGCACACTGTGGGTTCATAATAACTACTTATGGTTTATATAACATACTTACCTTTTCCTCTTATTGTGCTATTTTTAGGATGCCTCGAATGAAATTGCTGCTGAGTTGCAGGGTGTTCCAGATCTAATCATTGGAAACTACAGTGATGGAAATCTTGTTGCAACTCTGCTATCTTATAAACTGGGAATCACACAGGTGAACTTTAATTTTTTATTCATTATTTCAGATGCAACACAAAGATTGGTGGAAAAACAGTGGCATATATTGGAGTTAACTTTTCAAAACCGAATTCTCCATGTAGTGCAACATTGCTCATGCATTGGAGAAAACAAAGTACCCAGATTCTGATATATTTTGGAAGAAGCATGAAGATAAGTACCACTTTTCAAGTCAATTCACAGCCGATCTCATTGCAATGAACAATGCAGATTTCATAATCACCAGTACATACCAAGAGATTGCCGGAAGGTTAGATTGTCAGTCTAGTTCTTTTGGAACATGAATTGACTATATTGTTCGTCTAGTTCTGTTTAATCTCCAATTTTTTAATCTACCACCTGAAGTTTAACTTGAAATGTAGTAATATGATATGAGTTATGTTTGTGGTTAACAAGTTCAATCGTCTGTCACAATGAAGTGGATTGCATCCTTTGCAGCATGTGGCCCATTATTCTTCTCCCTGGATTCTAGTCACTTTTGCTTGTTGCATTAAAAGATTAATATTCTTGTTCTTTATCTCAGCAAGAATAACGTTGGACAGTATGAGAGCCACACTGCCTTCACTCTTCCTGGGCTGTATCGAGTTGTTCACGGGATTGATGTTTTTGATCCCAAGTTTAATATTGTCTCCCCGGGAGCAGATATGTGTATATACTTTCCATATTCTGACAAGGACAAAAGGCTTACTGCTCTACATGGGTCCATTGAAGAACTCTTATATGGTGCTGAGCAGAATGACGAGCATATGTGAGTATCTTCTAATGTTAAGTGAGAAAAGAACTTCTGTAAAACAATTTAAACCTCTTTCAAGTGGCATTGAGATTTTATAGGTAGTAGGGTTGCAACTTACATGTACTTCATTTTCATCACTCAATTGTCTGATACTCATTTGATGGGGATGCAGTGGGCTGTTGAGTGATCGATCAAAGCCTATTGTCTTTTCCATGGCAAGACTTGATAGAGTGAAAAATTTAACCGGACTTGTTGAGTGCTATGCTAAGAGCACCAAGCTAAGAGAAATGGTAAACCTTGTTGTGGTTGGTGGTTACATGGATGTCAAGAACTCTAGGGATAGAGAAGAAATTACAGAGATTGAAAAGATGCATGACCTCATTAAGAACTACAACTTGAGTGGCCAGTTCCGATGGATAGCAGCACAGATGAACCGTGCTCGTAATGGTGAGCTCTACCGCTACATTGCAGACACAAAAGGCATCTTTGTGCAGGTATGTGAAGTAGATATATAATGGTTTTATTTTAGTATCAAAATTCCATGTTTTAACCTATATTCTTATTCACTGCAGCCTGCTTTCTATGAAGCTTTTGGCCTCACCGTGGTGGAAGCCATGACTTGTGGCCTTCCTACTTTTGCAACTTGTCATGGTGGCCCCGCTGAGATCATTGAGCACGGTACCTCAGGGTTCCATGTTGATCCCTATAACCCTGACCAAGTGGCTGAACTCCTGACTGACTTCTTTGATCAGTGCCAGAAGGATCCTGGCTACTGGGAAAAGATATCTCAAGCAGGGCTTAAACGAATTTATGAAAGGTTTCATACTTTCTGGCAGACTGTTGAAAATTCAATCTTTGTCAACCTCAGTGTAACTAATCTCAAGCTCAATTGTGTAGGTACACTTGGAAGATATATTCAGAGAGGCTGCTCACATTAGCTGGGGTTTATGGCTTCTGGAAGCATGCGTCTAAGCTTGAGAGGCGAGAGACAAGGCGATATCTGGAGATGTTTTACACTCTCAAGTACCGGAATCTGGTTAGTAATCATATAATATCCTTCCTCGTATTACTTCATGCACAAATGGCACTTGCATTCCATAGATTCCGTATAGTTCATGAATTGGTTTGATTTAATAATAGAACAGAAAAAACTAATCATACCATGAATTGGTTAGTGACTGCACCTTGCACATTCAACTCTTATATAGTTCAAGAGAGTTGATTGAATTGAAATGGTGGAGATCTCTCTCCTTGAAATGCTGCTGACCGCGCATTGTGATCATCTTTCAGGTGAAGTCCATTCCGCTGGCTGTTGATGAGCAGCATTGAACTGTTATACATGCCGATGAAGCTGTCAGTCAGCTTGTTACTGCTTAAGTATGCACTTGAATTTCTGGTGTTGGCGATCCTGTCTAACTGCTATGGACAGGACCGTGTTGTTATTTCTTCTCGTTTGGTTTAAGATGTTGTAATTTCCCGTGGACCTTTGTAGTGTGTGTTAAATCCCCGAGCTTCGTGCTCTACCTTTAATAAGTTGATATTATGGTACTGAATCTCTTGAGTTTATGGACTTCTGAAGTTTCATTCCCTCATGTAGTTTGACACTTCAATATCCGAGCATAACTCTTTCCAACTCACAGATGATGGAGGACTCATGAGATTTTGGACTCCCTCATTGAGGCCTCGCTCTATGTGAGAGGGTGAGAGAGTTGGGATAAAAGCTGGGAAAATAGCTGGTCATATGCATTCATGTTTGTGTGTCTAAAACGAAGTTGTTCCGGGATTGATTAAAGGATAAAAATTGTGTATGGAAAACGTTGGTTTCCAGTAACATAAAATGCTTATTTTGTGAGACTATGAATCTTAATCACATATTTCACTTTCTTGAATGTGTTGCTTAAAGCTAAGAATTAAAAATGCTTCTAGGTCATGAAAGTGCTTTTTTAATAGATGCTTCTAGGTCGTGAAAGTGGTTACGTTGTTAAAACAGTTTGAAGTGCAATTTATAAAAACAGTCTCAAACGACCTAGAAAGAGAGTAGAAACATATTTCTAATTAAAAAAAAATAGTATTTCGTTATAATACATGTTTTTAATACAATTATCATCTCAACAATCAAATAATAATTGTAAGAAATACGTGTATGATGTAGGCCTATTTAATTGAGCGATCTAAGGTTTAGAGAGAGAGAGAGGCCGGCCACTTTAGAGAGAAGAGAGATTGATTTAATTGTGGGTGTGTGTTATCTAACCCCATTGTGCCTTTATTTATAGTAGTATGAAGGGTAAAACCTTTCCCTTTAGGATTACAACATTTAATAGGTAATCTAATTCTAATAGGAATATAAGATACATTCTCATATTTCCTAGGATTTACACAATCACATTCCTATTCTAAATAGGACTGCAACACTCCCCTTTGAGTGTGTAAATACTGAAGTAAATGGTACATCAAGTCTTCATTGATGAAGTAAGTACAGTTGATGAAGTCGTCGGCACAATGGGCAAATGCGAGTCTCAAATCAACAGAAGAATGCATAAAAAGTAAAACTCACAAAACTCGCTATGGTAAAACCCAAGATGGGAGAAAAACCCATAGTCTAAGAAGAAAAGTGAGAAGTTGCATTAAGTCAAAACTATACGTCTTTTGGACGCAAGTAGAAGAGCTCTCAAGAGTATGATCAACCCAGGATGGGTGCCTTGTTAAAACCTCGTTAGGTAGCAAAAACCCAATGGGAAAAATGTTCCTAATCGTAGGGAAAAAGAGTACATTAAGATCAAGTGAGTATACTTTTGGATACTCCCCCTAAGTTTGACATAACTTCTAAATGAAAACTACAAGCATTGCATATGAGTAGTTAGGCATACCAATTCCTCAGATAAGCTTCTGGAAGGTTGACTTCGTCAGTGACATCGTGTAGAGGTCGGCAAGGTTGTCTGGGATCGGTTTGTATGACTTCAATCTCCTGATGTTTTGCTGATGTAGATGTAGACGCAATATGTCTTGGTGTTGACTTCGTTGATGTATCATGGCTTGGTCGGGTTGATACATGTGGCATAATCTTCATGGATCGTCGTTGGGACTCAACGATGGATGAAAATATAGCAAGTACTTCGAATATGCTCAACAAGAACTCCTAACCATGTCTCACTTGTGGCATAGTGAATTAAGGTGAGTCTTGGAAAGATTCGAAGATTTCGCAACTAGGGTCATATCGTGGACCTCCAAGATATTGCGATATCCCTAACGGTAAAGACATAACCATTCGGGGATTTTGCCTTGTTCGGGTTTGATAAGTAACCAGTGTCAGCATAACAAACAAGGCAAGCATCATTTCGAGCATCCGGGGGGTTAGATCCGCTCAAGATGCTTTGGGATTTGCCCACGTAATACCTTCAGGGTACGTCTTTAATACCAATTCAGTGGTTGCGTGTAGGCGCGGTGCTGCCTCTTTACCAAGATCAACAGCGAAGGAGATGTCCTGTCTAAATACAAGGAGCTAAGTACAACGAAGCGCAAAGTTGAACTTTTAGATATGGAATTTCGGATTCCATAGGCTCTTCAAGAGTCTCATTTGCATATAACGTATAGAGGATCATGGGTATACTCAAAGGTGACACATTCCGGGTGTAGTTCAACTGGTAGACCAAAATACCGTCAGAACAATGCTTCAACTTCAGGTCAAGGCATAAACGAGTTTTCCCAAGATCCTTCATCTCAAATTCCATCTTCAGGTGCGAGGCAGTTTTCTCAAGCTCTTCCAGAGTCTTAGTGAGATTTGTGTTAACGACGTAAACTGTAACTCTAGCAATTTGGAATAAGACTTCATAGTTTAACACACAAGGGCATAATTCATATCCTTGACTGATCAAATAATCACTTAGACGGGTATACCACATCCGTCGGATTTTTCAATCCATAAGTGAACGGCTCAAAACGAGTTAAAAGGGTGTTCCGTGGTTTGGAACTATTTGAACCAGTCCATGTAATTCTTCGGGAACTTACACGTAAATCTCCGTATTTATATCCCTATAGAGAAATACTAACCACATTTCATAATGCTGCTATCAATCACAGGACGTTTTGAGAGAAACCTTGCGCCGTAAGGCGTGCATCATATCGCACTATTTCATTCATCTCATAATGTTTCCTTTCCCACTTGTAACTCAACAGGGTTACCTTGGGCAGTGTAGAAACAACAGGTCCAATACACACTTTGGTAAGGAATTTGACCTGGATTGTAACTTTAGTCCAATCAGTTCTACGTTGTCACTTAATCAACGGAACACGGTTCGATATCGTCGCTTTTCATTTATGTCGGTAACTACCATATAAGTGAAAACATCATCGATTATAATCTCATTTCAATTCCATTTTCTCATCCAAACTAGTATACTGGACCAAGAACTTCAAGTCTCGGGAGTAATCCGGATTAATCTCATGAGATGGAAATGATTTAAGACAGCGATCGAGTTTAGATTCATTATTGTGTCGTGTCTTCCTCTTCCAGGGAAGTCAACCCTACGAACCGAATGATATGTCGTACTCCAGGCCAAGACATATTGATTTGCTATCCGTCGGTGTACCGGACCATCCAACAGGGGCGTCAAAACCGTCCAACATGGGCGGCACACCCTCCAGGGATGTTGACTCGACGTCCATTAAGTACGTCTATCCTTGCAGGCATGTTTGCAGCTAGTATATGATCTCGTCACTTTAGCTAGATCAGAGGAATACGTCTGGAGCAACATTCTGAAATCTAGAATTCGTTGCACTTGCTTATCACACTTGTGCGATATGGGGATCGAGATGAGACATAGTGGGCAACGTCCATGCAAATTCACGCCGTTCTACAGGAGCGTTGACGTTCTTATCTCCCCCTAACGGCGGGAAGACTGTCTTATTAAAGTGACAACCCGCAAATAAGCGGTAAAGAGATCGTGTGCAAGGGCTCGAAGAGAGCTAGTGTGAAAGAGAATCATGATCGACAAAAGATACACATCCTTCTTTGAGGACCCATGGTGGTACGTTGTGGCGGTGCAACTTAGCACATGGAATGCGCACCCAAATACGCAAATACGAAAGTCGTCAGGTTCATACCCAGTAACCAACTGTAACGTCATATAGGTTGGGTGGCAATGGGCCTCAAGGCGGACCAACATAGCTGCGTGCAAGATTGCATAGCCCTAGGCAAAGACCGAAAACTTGGTACGTTGACCAAAATTCAGGCGATCATTTAAATTGTGCTTTATGATCGCTAGGCTAGGCTATTTGGGGTGAACATGGGAATGCGATGTTCAATTAAAAACCCAAAATGACATGCAATACTTTATCGAAAACCGTCGATATAAACTCTCTAGCATTATCCAGTCTTCTAGACCTTAAGGGATAAGTAGGGTGGTGAACCCTTAATCGGCCAAGAGGTTTAGCAGTAATGTGTGTGGACAAACATGTGACCAGTTTGTCGATTCATCAACCAAAACCATAAATATTTATATGGTCCGCATTTTGCTTGGATTAGTCCACATATATTCCCTTGAATCCACTGCGAAAATGGAGTCGTGTCGTATCTTTGCAAGAAATGATATAGAAAATCAATTTCCCTAATGAGCAGGATTGGCAAAGTGTGCTTGTAGGCACAAAATCCTTACTTCAGATAAGGAGATGCGTTGTAGCATCATTGTTCGACCTAAGTGTCCCAAAAGGTTGTGCCAAAGCAAGTAAACTGCTCAATCACCAGGCTATAGGCCGGCCACATGTGGTGCATTCCTAGTTGGGAGACAACCCATTGGCCCCAAATCAAAGTTTCAGGCTCATTCTTGGAGCTAGTGCAAAGATATTTCACTCTATTTTCTTCAGTGGTTTCATTTATGATCATTGTCATCTCGAATATCCTTAAAAACTCAACGTCAGGAAGAATTTAAGGTCCTTTAAATGATAATTCAATATCATTCATACAACGAGGAGCGTGCCAATGCTCTTAATCAGGTTGGATAGACCTAAAGTCGTTGTTAGAGATGTGATTTAGGTGTAAAGTTAGTGTGCATAGTACGCATTCATCCAGACAACTAACTTTCCCACATTTCTACCTAATCACGTGTTTAATTGAATCGGTCACATGTATTAAGAAACATGATTCAATTAACTCATATTCGAGGACAATATCAATAAGATTATCCATAAGTAAAACATACACCAAACTTGAATCCAAGAACATGGAAAAATGTTCACAAAGTAAATTTACTAAGGGGATTCGGCCAATAAGACCATCCATGTCGAAATGTTTCTCTGCCAACGATGTTCGGTGGAGCAAAATCAATCTCACATATTTACTACTAGAATGGTACTCCTCAACAACATTGGTAGAGGCACGAACAAGTGCATAACCAATGATCTATTCCATCAAGACGGGAGTAGATTCTTGCAAGGTTGAGGTTTGAGAATATTATCCCTTATTCTTGAAGTTTTAGGTCTTATGTACCAAGGATCATGCTTCGGGCATGATGCCACACCTTGGCAGGCCCTGATTATACTATATGTTTGTGAACACAAA